TTCCTGTGTCTGGGCTTTTGTATTTTGAGAAATTTTTTCTCTCTTTTCTTTTCGAATTGGGTATCTGAAGTTTGCTGATTGAGTGTTTTGAATCTATGCATCGAATTTTATGTTTGTCTGTTGGTCGCTGTAGATTTAGCTCTTCCCCTTTGAAATCCTTTCGGAATCTCTGTTCCCTTTCTTCAAAATAGCCCCTTTTCGTGGAACCCTAATTTCTAAAACCTTCTCCGCCTACCCTTTTCCTCTTTTTTGATATTGTTTCTTTCTTCTTTTTGTTTTCAGATCCTGCTACCTCGACCACCTCTTCCGGTTCAGTCGAAATATTGCCGTCTGCCCTTGAAGCTGTTCCCCTCTCTATTCTTCGTCCTGGTGATACCGTCCCTACCCGCGTTTTCACTGCTCGTGTTGCTTCTCCCAATTCAGGGGATTCCATGGATAATATCCCTCTTCGTTGCCGCCGTCCTGCTTTTGGCTCGATGGATGAGCCTGAGGAAGACGAAGTTATTTCTTCTCAGCCCACTTTTCCTGCATCTTCAACCGTTCCTCCTTCTTCGAATTCTCCACCCAAGCAGTCCTCGACCAAGAAGCTTTCTAAACGACCATCTTCTACCTCTCTATCTCACCCCTGGTTTAATCCCGATAAAATCGGCCAACCTCTTGGTTGGGCATTCATTAGGTCTTCCCCTTCCGACCGATATGATAATCCCCCGCGAGACTGTTATCCTTTCTTCGAGGTCCAGTTCAAGCTTGGGTTACGTTTTCCTTTGAGCCCCGATATAATCCGCATCTGCGAGTGGTTCTCGCTTTCTTTACACCAACTTCCTCCTAATGCCATCCGTTTTATCACCACCTTCATCATTCTCTGCCGCGTCCGTCTGGGTCGATTCGATCTAGACTTCTTCCACTATTGTTACTGCCCCTCTAAATTAGGCCGGGGTCTTTATCTGAAATGTCGCAATGGTGCGCATTTCATCAACGACATCCCCTCCAACCTTCCCGGGTGGAGTGATAAATTCATTTTTGTTCGACCCGACGTCCCCTTGCCCTGGCCTTCCATTCCTTGGGTCAAGGATGTTTCTAAGGAGGCAGCATCGGCCCCTCCGTCAAACCCCCTCTTCGACCAACGGATCCATGTTTGGAATTCCAAGACCGTTGCGTCTGAAAAACTTCTTTAGGACGAGAATCTTCTCCATTTCTGTGGTCTTCTTTCCCATAAAACCCTTTCTCCCCCTACTGAGGAGATTCTCGACCTCGTTCGCCTTGAGGATGACCCAGGTAGTTCTCGATCAGTTCATTTTGAATGTTGTTATGGGTTTGTTATTCTTGTTGAGCTAAGTGTTAATGTTGGTTCTGTTTTGTTTGGTGTGCTCGTGCAGAGGCTCCTAACTTCAACATTCCTCTGAGGAGAGTACCTCTGAAGAAGAAATCAGGGGCAGCTGCCGGCTCGACCAACGACAGGGTCGATGGCTCGACCAGATCCGACGGGCCTCGGCCAGGGTCGCAACAGCAATCGCCCTCACAAC